CCAGTCTGTTACACAGGAACAGGAGGCCATTCAGCACCTCCTCCTCCAGCCTGTTACACAGGAGGCCATTCGGCCCCACCCCTCCTCCAGCCTGTTACACAGGAGGCCATTCGGCTCCACCCCTCCTCCGAGCCTGTTACACAGGAGGCCATTCAGCTCCCCCCTCCGACCCCTCCAGCCTGTCACATAGGAGCAGGAGGCCATTCGGCGCCCTCCCTCCTCGATCCTGTTACATAAAACGTGGAATGTAGAGCAGTACAGCACAAGAACGGGCCCTTCGGCCCACGATGTTGTGCCAAACACGACGCTAAATTAAACTAATTCCCTCTGTCTGTCCCTTGGTCCATACCAGCCCCACGTTCGTTGCATATCCATGTGCTTGTCCAAAAGCCCCTTAAACGCCCCTATTGTATTCCACTCCTCCACCATCCCAAACAGCGCATTCCACACTCCTACCACTTTGTGTGAAAAAACATGCCCCTCATATCTCCTTTGAACTTTACTCCTCTCAACTTAAATGCTCGTCCCCTAGTATTTACACAGGAACCAAAGGCCATTCGGCCCTCCCTTCCTCGAGCCTGTTACACAGGGACAGGAGGCCATTCGGCCCGCCCCTCCTTGAGCTGGCCCTCACGAGAGATTTCCGTTCGGGCAGAGCGATCGTATGTTTCCCCGTCGCTGTAACCTGAATGCAGCATCTCGCCAGAGGGCACACCCACCCCACAACCGCCCCCCACCACATTCCCCTTCCAGGGCTAATTCCCTGTGGGGCATGGGTTAGAATCCCACCACGGCTCCCGGATGGAATTTAAATCTGATGAATCAAATCTGGAATTGGGAGCCGCCGGGGTGGGGGCAAGGGGTGGTGGGTGGCGGGTGGTGGGTGGCGGGTGGGGGGGGTTGGGCAGCGTGTGGCGGGGGAGGGGTGTGGATGGGGTTGGGGGGAGGATGTGGGGTGTTGTGGGTGCGGGGGGGGGGGTGCAGGGGAGGGGTTGGAAATCTGCCGTCCTCGCCCTGGGCTGGGTCTACACGTGACTCCTGACCCGCCCTGTGAAAGGGCCCCGAGAGAGACGGGGGGCTCGACCAATGCCAGTCTCCCTGGTGGTGCCCATGGGAATGGGTACAAAAAGTTACCTGAACCACCCCCCCCCCCCCCCCCCCACCCCGTCCTCCCTCCACCACCGACGCTCAGTCGCAGCAGTGTGTACCGTCTACAGCGACTCCCC